GTTTGTATGTGTGTGTGTGTGCGCGTGGTGCGTGTTTGTGAAGTGCACCGTCCTACGTTGTACGAAAGGTTTGAACCGCAGGAGAACCGGCGACGGGAGGGGTGTAGAGTGTTTCTAGCCGGGATGCGCCACCTTCACAAGGATGCCAAATAAAGTTGCTGGGAAGCGTTCTACCAAAATGGGGGCTGCGGGGGGGGGGGGGGGGGGGGAGAACGTTGTAATTAGCAAGACCACGCCAACTCGTATCAGGGTAACAAGAGATATATGGAAAGAACATGAAACAAACTACAGAAGTGCATGCATAAAGCTGCATGAAGTCTTTCCCGGATCCTTCTTTGCATCCAGATTTGAGAAGTCGAAACACCAAACATCCCCAAACCAACTGGAGGTTTAGGTTATGCTGATAATTACGATATTTAGATAAAAATTAGAATGTCGGTCGATAGTTGATGCACAACCTCTCCTCGAGATCTCTGAAACCCTCAGCGTCCTGCGCCGCCACACTTCCAGTCACCTTCAGAGACGAGGCCTCAAGGAAGGTGACGTCCTCGAAACATGCATCTGCTCTGCAAGAACCGAATTGACGGCAAGCAGTCTGATCATGCTCGAAGTTCACGATGAAGGCTTAATCAAAATCACACAGTTCATAATGCACACAGAGATGCCCTGTGCTCCAGAACTCAACCGTACACATACATGCGCAATCACCGCAAGAACGAAGCAACATGAGCCTCAGCTGTGCCAGCAGCTAAGATGCAGTGTCTCTCCTACAGCCATCTCAACCCCCTGATCCGGTAGTAATGGTAAATTGGCAAGGCCAGCATCATCATCAACACCTAACTTCATCATCTGATGCACCCTAAACCCTAAACCCTAAACCCTAAAACAGAAAGCTCGCGCCCCCAAGATCCCAAGCCATGGCACCCTTTCTTGTCTGGAATGTTGCCAGGGCTGAAGCCAAAAGCGAGCGGTGACAGGGAGCAGAAAGCACAACGCCCAAGTTTCAGCAACTATGGCGCACCCGGACTGAAACCTGGCCCAAGTTATCGATTTCCGAAAATTTGTTAAAACACGTGTTTTCGCACTTGGGGTTTTGTGACTTTCATGTTTTCGCCTGGCAGCATTGTCGGGACCTCCCGTATGACTGCGTTTGAAAACTTCCAAATGTCGAACCTGCAAGAGATAAAGACACTGGCAAAGCTATGACAGTCAACGGAAACATAAATTCTGGGAGATGTCTAGGTGTTGTTCCGCCTTTGTTGGTGCCGTGTGTTGTCGAACTTGATGGCTAGTTCATGCGGAGCCTTGACCCTATCAACCCTAGACTGGCGGTTTCCCAGTATTTCTTGCAGCTTCGGATCTCCACCAGCTGCAAAGCCACCGCCCCAAAGAGCGCCACCACTTGTCACCTTTGCTTTGAGGTCTGGGTTGAAAGGCATGAAGGCATGGAGGCTTGGAGGATGCTGCAGAGATGTCTACAGGTCGTGATGGCCACACAACATCACACAACCGACATATTCCCAAAGAGTGCTCCCGAAGAGTGCCTTCAAGAACTCAGAAGGCTGCTTCGCTTGAGGTTTGGAAAAACAACATACACGAGATATTTGGAAGATGGAGTCAAATCTGGAGCTGCTCAAGAAGGGCAGAGTGCAAGAGAAGGAAGAAGGACAAGCCTCTTGTCCCGGAGAAGGGGATCCTTTTTCTAATCAGCAACTGCGACCACAATCTTACGCAGGTTCCTCAGTAAACCCAGTGCGGAGATTGAGCCCAAGCAGCTGTGACGTTCGACCTTTCGAGCGTGATGGCTCCTGCGATGTTGACTCAGCATTTCTTTGTCACAAGACTACTCGCGCCTGTGCAGAAGACAAGCCACACACAGGACATTCACCTGCCTGGACTCAAAGACCCGGCTTCTTCAACTGCAGTTTTGAGAGAGGGTTACAATATCCGAACTTCTTGGGCGACTTCTGTCGCCCACTTGAAGCTACAGGGACTGCGGTTGCGTCTAAAGCTTATGAGCTCCTGTACTGTGAAATGTACCGCCACCTTGCGCGTTGATGTTCCGCGAAGCTTGCCGTGCTTCCACCCGGGCATCCTCGAAGGAGATGGTCCTCGGCTCGAAATGTGCCTGTATATGTTCTGGGTTATAACATATGTATATATATATATATACACACATACACACACACACACACACACGCAGAGTTTCTATAAGGGTTACCATAAGGTCACTCTAAATTATGTCATTACCGTACTCATTTGACACATAGGAACAGTATGATGTGTGGAGGTGCTTTGGGGGGACTCAGCTCGTGAGATGAAGGCTTGCGGTTTAGGACTTGTAGTAGAAACTGAGAGGGCCTAAGGCGACATGCTTGGGCCTGCAGCCCTTTCAGCGCATTTTCAGGATCCAATGACTTGGTGGGTGAATCATGTGCAGTGAGGCGGCGAAAGACCGAATCCGTTCCGTAGTGAGACGTTCCCGCTGTTGCTTTCTTTTTCAATTCAATCATAGGAATTAGGAGCCCTGTCCGCTTCAGCAAAAGCAAGGAGCACTCTCATGTTAACACGCAGCCAAAGAGGGACCGAATTCAAGCCAGGGAATCGCCGATTCTCTGTCTTAATCAAAACGGTTCCCAGACTTGCAGTCGTCAAAGGTCCGCGTTGAGTGCATTACTTGCGGATTTCATGCGAAAGTTCAGGGTCAGTCGTGTTTCCGCGCATGTTTTTTCACGTTTGCAGTCTTCACTGGTTCCGGAGAGTTGTTGTTTGTTGCGGAGCTCTGCTCGAGTCTTTCTTTCTGTCTGTTTGGGGTGGTGGCTAATGAAGGCGGTCGGAGGCATGTGGGGTCTCGGAGGTGATTTGTGCATCTGTCTGCTGGGCTGCTCTGGGGCATGTCTCGAGCCCGGCAGGACTATAAAAGCAAACGGTCTCGTTCCAAAGCCAGCTGAACAACACTAGTTCAGCTCTTGCAAGAAGTGGGTCTTGCTCGCTTACTCTACCTGAATATTGACGCACTGAATTTGGCTGCTTTAAGCAAGGGCGCTCTGCTTCGAAGCGCGCCGACCTCACGCGTAGGTTGCCGGTGATCCGCAAGCTGCCTTCCGTCTGAAGCGTCACGAAGCCGTCGCCAAGGAGCAGTGAGGGTTCCTCACTGTTGCCAGGCCCCAGAAGCTCGCAAACAGAGGCAGTTTGTGGCCTGGGCCACAGGTGTAAGGTAAGAGCTTGAGGCTCCAGGCTTTCGGGGTTTTGTCCTGCCACCTTGTGGAGTGAGGACTTGCAGTAGAATTTCGGCTAGAGGCTTTGCCGTCTGCCTCAAAGATGTTATCAACACCCTCCTGATTCGCCCACCCCACCAGCAAGCAAGGCCGGTTCAACTCAGTGCGAGTGGCTGAATGCGGAAGCACCCGCCCGCCGGCAGCTGATTGCCGCAAAGGTCATTCCACTGGACCATTTCGCAAACCTGAGGCCAAGAGGGTCGGGTCGGGCAGCACTGCCGAGAGGTTCGCCGTTCGTCAACCATGCTGGAAGGCGGCATAACAACAAATCTCGAGAAGTCCCTGTTTGGATATTTCATGGTATCTCTCAAAATTGCTAGAGCAGCGCATGAATCGGTGTATCACGACTTTGACAGGTTCCCAATCCTGAAATCGTCATCCGGCCGACCTCTAGCCCAACAAACTAAGACAACTCGACAACCCACTCCATCGATTTCAAAGACTCCCTGCCCAGACAAGCACCTGCAAACTCTTCACATAAGAAATCCTACATGTATGGATCGCAAGACG